GACAGGCTGTGATTTGCACTGGAAGAGGATGTTACTGGATCGAACTCCGATCCAGCACGGAAACTGTGATACCCGTACCCCAGCCAAGACGGCTTTTTACTGCGTGCTTTTACCAGTTGGCTCGACTAGTGTTTGGTGAAATGCTAGTCATCGCATTCAATTACCAATTGTGTGTATCGCATCGGTAGCTCATCAAAGTATTATGATCAAACAAATCGCTGCGCCCATCTGTCTTGTGCAGCATGCCAGCGTCTCTTGGCTCCACCATCGGTAGTGGACTTGCTAAAATGTGCAAGGAATAAGACGCCATGGTTTTACAGTTAACAGTAAGGGGAAGTTCCAAGTAGTTTTCAGAAATTGCATGAGCCAATCAAAACTAATTTACCTCTTTATTTCTCACGATTTAGAAAATGAAGTCGAGGACCACTTTCTCTACTTTTGGTATAGTTAGTTGCGTAAAATATCGCAGAAACAGAGGTAAAAAATAGGAAACTGTATTGTGAATTCGCTATATATTACCGAAATTCGCGTTGTTTTGTAGTGAATATTGAATCACGCTGGAATTTCTGATTGGCTGACTATACTTGTCCTTTCAGTAGCCAGTCAAATCCACTCAAAAATGGATTAGCCAATAGCGTCGACTCGTGATTCGACTCGGCTGCGAAAATTCGATTCGACGGGATCTGAAAATTCGTACCGAATCCAGAATACTTGGGGCCACTTCTTCATTTGCTAAAAATATCTACTTGGAACATGCCCTAAGCAACCAAGTTCGTTTTACTCCAGTTCTTTTAGCCAATGAAATTAAGTTGGACCATTTGGAATAAAAATATTTCCCAAATACCCGACTTGGACAAACCAACGGCGGATGGAAAGCAACAGTGAGGTGTCCGACGAGCGCAATGGAGACACCCAACTCAACCTTGAAAGGGGAATGACGTTTCACTCGGGAAGCGCCTTCGTCGTGTCTCCATTGCGCTCGTCGGGCACCTCACTATTGCTTTCCATTCGCCGTTGGTTTGTCTTCACTATTAATATATGTATTAATAACGTTAACGGTACAATAAATACCATCATCAAATTGGATCTTGAAACCCAAGAATTTCCTGCAATGTCGAAAAATGTTTTTTATTCAATATTCCAATATCCCATAATGTTGGTGGGTGGCATCCAGACGGGCCCTAATTATAGGTGCAATGACATGGAAGGGTTGCCAGCCACTTGGTGTCAGCAGACAGTGGAGTACAGCGTCGAAGCAATACACTGTAGAGGCTACAGAGGAGAGTGTAGTGCAGCGACGATAAAGGAGTCCTCTACAACACTCCTCCTTACACCATCGTCGCTGCACTCCACCGCCTTCCACCCGCCGAGTGCGAGATGGTGGGCGGTGGAGTGTAACGAAGATGGTGGACGGAGAAATGATATGCCGTGGACCTATGGAAAAGCAAATGCAGCGACCATGGAGGATGGCCTCCACTGCACTCTACTTACCGCCGCCATTCTTGGTTGTCTTCGGCCGTCGCATTTGTAGGGAATAGCTCCGCAGATCCCGTCAAGGTGCGGCACCGTCTAATGGGCGACATGGAGAAACGGCCACCGACGCACTCGACGGTAGCGTATAGCACAGTACAGCGACGGTGGATGATATCGCAAATAATGGCTGCCGCGTAGCAACTGTGATGTCCACAGATGTAGTTCATCGTGGACATCACAGTGGCCGTCAACCATCATCGCCGCACTTCACTCTCCGCTGCCGCGGCCACACTACAACGTCCTCGATCATCGACGTTCTCTACACTCCACCGCCCGCCACGGTCGCCCCAGATAGCAGCAGGCCAGTGCAGCGACGATAACGGAGTCCTCTACAACACTCCTCCGTCCACCATCTTCGCTGCACTCCATCACCCGCCACCTCACAATCGGCGGGGGAAGGCGGTGGAGTGCAGCGAAAATGGAGAAGTGATGTGGCGTGGAGCTATGGAAAAGGAAGTGCAGTGACCATGTAGTACGGCCACCATACACTCGACGGTAGCGGACTGTGGGAAAAACGATGGTGGAAGACATCGCAGTATAGCGCAGCAGGTACTCCAGACGTTCTCACGACTCGACGAGCGCAAACGCTTTATTTTCTCCGCATAGAGTGTATGCATCGGTGGACATCACAGTGGTCGTCCGCCATCATTAACGTTACGCACCCCACTGTCCGCCGCAGCAATACTACAATGTACTCCATCATTGACGCACTCCCCCACTCCGCTTCCTGCCACCATCGCCCCAGATAGCAGGAAGACGGTCACCGCTGCATTACGCGGTGGTGGTGGCAGGAAGCGGAGTGGGGGAGTGCGTCAATGATGGAGGACATTGTAGTATGGCCACGGCGGCGGATAGTGGGGTGGCAATGATGGTAGACGGTGACTATGATAACCACCATCATCGATGTACTGTACCGAGCAATTCTAACGAGTGTCCCCGCAGCCTCCGCGATCGCAGGTATGTGGCTTCCGTAGTTCCATCACGGTGCGGAATCGTCTTCTTACCGGCACTACCGTGCATGCCCCAACGTTAAACTAACTTCAAGTTGCGTCAACTACTTGTGAGCACCTGGGCAAGGATAACGCGCCGCCATCGCATGGCCTAGCTTATCATTGCACTAAAACACCGCGTTTGCCGAAATTCATCGGCAAACACCCCTGTTAAGCAAACCTTGCTCGGAAAACCAGCCAGAAATTTCTTTGGCGTCCAGTCAAACTGAAGCAAACCCATACGATCCATAAAATCACCTCTAATTAGAGCGTGGAATTACTAAAAAGAGTGGTACATTTGGTGCTTCGTTTTACTAAAACGAAGTTGGGAGAAAGTCTCCCACCTTTTTTGCTTCTGATTGGTGCAATCGATAGCGTAGGACCTCTTTGATTAGCTATTTCCCGATGGTACGACGTCAGAACTGTAGCAAGCGAAGAACAAAATTATGGTGCTTCACCCGCCAGGCTATGAAGACGTCGTTAGTTCACATACACTTCGATTCCTGTAGCATTATACATCTCTTCTAAAGCTTCTCGCTGGCGTACAACGCAGTTTGGCCTGTGTGTAGTCCAGTAGCTCCCATGCTCTTATTGCTACTAGGGAACTCTTCGAGAGTTCGTACTCCGCTGAGTGAACCTATAGATTGAATGCTACATGTCATTCATTGAAAGCGCGCTCGCACCATATCTCTGAGCTGACATACAGCCATGCGTCACCAAGCCATCTCCGATTCTGGTGTATTTACCTATATAATCCTATACTTCGTATCCAATTATACAGGTTTATACGGAAAACTCAAGTTTTGGCATACATAAATCAAGTGAAAATGGAGGCGACAACTATTCTGCACCAGAGTAGTAGCGGACTGCTTAGCTGACCAATGATTTGGGCAACCTAATACTGAGGGGTTTTAGTCCCAGAATAGCCAAAAGTTGTGAAAAGCACAATACTTTCAATAATAGTTAACGTTACTAGATCACTTAAATTTGTTGAGAACGAACTGGCGTGAACTACTGTAATCACAATGCTGGTTAATGGACAACCATACACCTATTCTATCGCCACTTAACGAGCTTCCGAACCTACTCACATCTGGAATGTGTCCTACAGTGTCGATGCATTTGCAGTTGCAGTGCGACTCGAGCACGCGTATGTACTGCCAGACATAAATGGCGTGCAACATCAATGAATTATACATTACTCAGTAGTACTAGGATGTATCGCAACGTGAGTCTAATTTCCACACCACGTAAACGAAGCCACACTGGCACACTGTTGAGCGTTCCATCCAGCGAAACACGCGTCCGTGGGTTGATAGTAACAATTGGTGCACTTGCCGCAGACCTTGGACGACGCGGTTGTCACCGGGGCCGCACTCGAAGGCGCAGTGGTGGGGGCACTAGCCGAGGGACTAGGGGTGGGGGCGGAAGTTGGCGCAACCGATGTGGCCGACGAGGTCGAGGGAGTGGGGGCTGCAGTCTGAGCGCGAGTAGTCGTAGGGGCAGCCGAGGGGGCGACAGTCGATGTTGCAGGGGGCGGAGGGGGAACAGCACCACCGAGGCTGTCGAGGGCGGCACGAACGGGCTTGGAGAAGGCGAAGTTGTCAAATCTGTCCCAGTTGATTGACCAGGTCATGACACCACGGAACGTCGGGTATGGCTGCTTGGGCTTGACAGTGTCACAGCCGACGCCTTGGGCCAAACAGGTCAGCGCCCGACGAATCACCTCGGGGGTGGCTTGTCCGCGACCGGCAGACTTGGGGCCCGATGGGACACCAAACGACACTTGGTCCGGTCGCAGTCCGCGGAACTCCCACCCATTGCCGTAGTTGGTCTTGAAGCCTTCGATGAGCATCAAACTTCCCCCCACCAAGCCGTCCACGGTCCCTTCGTTCAAAATCTTGTTGTCAACGTACATGAAGCCGCCGTTGTTGTAGTATTGCGGGTGGAGTTGCGTGAGTTCTTCGCGAAGTCCGTCCACGAGGGGCAAGTAGGCACCCCAAATACCTCCAAACGAAGCATACCCGCCTTGGACGTTCGGGTGTTCAGGCGCCATGCTGAGATAGAAGGTCGGGCCCACCTTTTGGCGGAGTTGTTTCATGGCCGAAATCAAGTTGTTGATGATCGGGGCGCCGATGTACACACCGTGCTCCAAGTCAATGTCGACCCCGTCAAAGCCGAACTTGGTGATGATGTCGTAGAGGGTGGTCACAAAGTTGGCCAGTTCCGTCGCGTCGTTGAGCGACACGGTGCCGTCTTGTCCGCCCAACGACAGCGCCACGATTTTCCCTTTCGCCTTCAACGCTTTAATGTCGGCGATGAATTGCGCTTCTGTGCCCGCGTTCACGTCCAAGTTGAACGCGAGTTTGCCCTGGCCGAGGTGGTCAGCGAAAGCAACGTTGATCACGTCCCATTCGTTGCTGATCTGGCTCAACGGGTACGTGTTCCCCGAAGGGTTCTTGAAGTTGTGCCAAAACCCCACGAGGTTGTTTGTGGGCAGCGCTCGCCCGCCGTTCACGGCAGTTTCGTTTCCGTGGAGCACCACAGGCGACGACTCATGGTGGTCGAATCCGCGGCTGTTGGCAGCAACAGACGACAGAATGGCGGCGGAGATGATAATGGACTTCATGGCTCAAATTGAAATATGATGAACACCATGTGACGTTCGTTTGAAAAACATATTCCAACCGTCCAAGTTGAATTTGTCGCGCGGCCTGTGCAGCTTGTGAACTTTCGCGCTGATTCTTCATGCACAGAGCATAACATATGCGAAAAACAAAATGCTCCCACGAATATACATACTGTATCTGTGACCCCTCTCCTGGTACAATTCTCGGATTAAAACAGTTCCACTGTCGGGTGTTTGTTTTTACGGGACCTCTGTATACTGTACTCGCTTAGTACAGTACATACTAGTATCAGTGGTTAGCGATACTGTAGCTAACCCATTGACGATACAGTTAACCCGAGCATTTAGCGTTACAGTATATGTACTCACAGGGGGTAGGACGAAGTCCCAAGGTGACAGGACAGCGGGCGATAGAAAGTGTATCCGGAAAGCATAATTCCCTCACTCAAACAGTACTACTAGTACTCTGGAACGAAATACTAGTATAAGGAAGTGTCCACTGTCCGAAGGGAAATTAATATAACGAAGTCGATGCAATTAATCGGGCAAAACAAAAGTGGAATTTTTTTAATCAGGGAATTCTTCCTCTCCTTTACTACTGGTAGTATGGTGATGATTGACGCAGATTTGTTCAGTTAACGTTATTTGGATTTTTTCGCTCAATTTCTATGTTGTTGCATAGTTTGTCACATGACAAGCTGCCAACCAGTAGGTACTGGTATACTAGTACAGTACTTGTACTACGTAATACTCCAGGAGTACTACAGTAGTACTAGTACTTGGATGTAACATTAATGTTACTTCGAAGTAGTGTACGTGTAGAATTCCACTGCTGTATCGATTTCAAAAGTACATATGGTGGTACTTTCTCGACAGGAGTTGTATGTCAACGAATTTTAGCCTCATTTGCAGTCACTTAACGTACTACCATTATTAATAATAGTAGTACTCCGTATCTACTTTACTGTTAACGTTAGGCTAGAACTCAGTGCAGTAAGTGGTTAACCCACTACGTTAACGTTTGTGTAACGTAGAGCATATTAACGAGTAACTGTGAATGAAGCCGCTAGTACAGTACGTAGTAGTACTCCGGATTAAGGCCGTTCGTGATTCGAGAAGTCGGGAATCCTACAAATTCCCTTGTGCATTGAGACTAACGTTACTGTACCGGTAAGTGGTAACCCTATACTGTAACACCTTAGTTGGTGAGGTATTGTGTGAATGTGGGATACTGACGTGCTCAGACTGTGCGTTCGAACTCAGATGTGCAAAAAGAGGGGATTGATTACACCAGAACTTCAACTTGCCTTCGCTGGAGTAGAAGGTGTGCATTTGCAAGAATTTACTGTATGATGATTTTTGTCAACAATACGCGATAACTTATCAACAATCCCGGTGATGGAAATCTACTGTAGCCCCACGAACATGGATCTACATTCCCTGCTTCATGCTAATCCAATAGCAAATAGTACAGGGTATAGTACCGCAATGGTATATTCACTCGTCCATCTAATCAATCACCGACATACTTGTCCTTCGAAGTATTAAATTGTCATTGACAACTTGGTCTTCGGAGCTTGCCCATCTAACGTCTGAAGTTTGATTATGGTAACGGTACAAAAAGGCCAGAGTAGGTACTAGTAGTACTACACTGTACGTAGCACATGTAAAATCGAAATACTAATCTATACACATTCCGGCCACCGGCAATCAAGTTCAACCACAACGAGTAGATCCACAGCCCCATCCACGCTGGGAACTGCCATTATTCAATTTGCCATCCCCAGCAAACTGCAACAAGCATGACCGTGATCGCCAAGTCTGCGTTGGCCGCCCTTGTGGTGGCTATGACTTCGTCAGTGGAAGCCGCCAAGCTCAAGAACGTGGTGTACTACATGGAATGGGCCATCTACCAGCGCAACTTTGGCATCTTCGACTTGGACTGGGACAAGATCACCCACATCAACTACGCGTTCGGCAAGCCCAACCCCGACGGCACGGTGGGGATCTACGACGGGTGGGCCGCGGTGCAAAAGCGGTGGCCGGAGCATGGCGACTCGTGGAACGACCAAGGCAACAGCTTGTACGGCAACTTTGGCCAAGGGTTCAAGCAAAAGCAAAAGGCTCGCGGCACCAAGTTCGGTCTGTCCATTGGCGGGTGGACGTTGAGCGACCAGTTCAGCTCCATCGCGAGCACGGAAACAGGCCGCCGCACGTTTGCCAAGAGCTCGGTGAAGCTCAT